TTCTGGACGCAATAGTGAGTTTAAACAGCTCAATATATGTGATTAAGTGCATTAAAAAAAGGTCCTGTGTTCATTTCTGAACAGTGACAGCCTGTGACACGCTCTCTATATTGTTCGGCCGTGTAAATATCAAAACAAAATGAGTTCAACGTATAATACTTTGATAGTCATTGGCTGCTAATTTGATTTCACTATTTAGATTTATTACTTTTCTGAAATAATAACAAGGAGAAAGTCCAAATGTGTGAATGTAGAAACTTTATCTCGATAAAGTATCTTATATCTCTGTTGGACGCGTATTATAATCCCGCGCGCGCGCTCAGGTTTAGCGTTTGTTTACCTGACAGAGAAGCAGAAGAGATCTCTCCAGGAGTGAAATTTGCTCAGCTCCACAAAGTCGGTTCTCTTACCGGTTGTGTGTGTCAGTGAAGCTCCTCAGACACCCGGTCGCCGGCCGCTTCAGTCCGGACCCGAGTGACGGAAGAAAAGAAGAAGAGAAAAAGAATAAAAGTGGAAATCCCTGAAGGAAGGATGTCACAGAGCTGTGACTGAGGCAGTGAGTAGATCTACTGCTGTGATCTCAATCTGATCTCCACCGCCTCTCACTGGACACACACACTCTCTCTCACACACACACACACACACACACAGACAGAGTGAGGGAGAGAAGCATACATACACACACTACAACTGTACTACAACATACATACAAAACAACAACATTCATTCATTCATTCATTCATTTTCTTGTCGGCTTAGTCACTTTATTAATCTAGGGTCGCCACAGCGGAATGAACCGCCAACTTATCCAGCACATGTTTTACGCAGCAGATACCCTTCCAGCTGCAACCCATCTCAGGGAAACATCCATACACACCCATTTCCACTCATACACTAATTTACTCATACACTAATTTAGCCCACCCAATACACCTGTACCGCATGTCTTTGGACTGTGGGGGAAACGCGAACGCAAGGAGAACATGCAAACTCCTCACAGAAACGCCAACTGAGCCAACCGGGACTCGAACCAGCAACCTTCTTGCTGTGAGACCACAGTGCTAACCACTGAGCCACCGTGTCAGCCTTAATTTAATTGAATCTGAGTATTTGCCACTATTATTAGTTCATAAAATCCTATTATGAATTATTAACTTATAGATATGAAATGATAAATTTATAAATATTAATTATATATATTAAAAAAAAGTGAAGATAGATGATGTGCGAAATTAACCTTTATCTGGATGACAAAAAATGCAAACAACATTTTATAATTGTGTTTATAGTATTTTCATAATAGTTATCACAAACTAATCATTGATCAACTCATAATTAGGAAGTTTAATGAGATATTTAAGTGAAGTGTAATAATCAACCCAGAATTACTCTGAATATGTACCCCTGTATACATTTCTGGAGAGCGCCAAATACATCCCAGGGGGGTTTTATTGTTGTCGCAGTTTTTGTTTTCGTGAATCCACCAGAGGCGGCTGTGTACACTTTTACAGATCTCAAATTTCTCTTGTGAGCGTCATTCATGCCTGCTGTTCTCACGTAAATCCACCAGAGGCCACTGTCGACTAACTGACTGACCGACCGATCGCCCCACCCTCCTCCTTCCCTAAACCCAACCGACAGTGTTTTCCAGAGCAATCCAGAAAAAAAAGCCCTCGCAGCCGCCTAATTTTTACCATGTTTTCAGATCTTATCACATTCTCACCCTGTTATTTACTTGCTTATTTTGTTTGTTGCCTTTTGTTTTACCTGCTTTCTGGAACTTTTCTTCTCCGGACTCAAACCCTGTCATCACGGTCAACTCCGCTCTGAGTCTCAAGTCCGCCAAAATATGTGGGAAGCTACTGAACAAAGTAGTAACAGCGGAAAAGGTTTTAAAGTATTAAGGTTTTAAAGGCGAAATGCAGCCATACCTTCCTCTGGCTACATAATTTGCGATCTCCAGAAATGTATACAGGGCTACGCTTTCAGAATGAGCCTGTGCTGGTAATAAAGCTTTTTTTTTAATGTCTCAAACATTAAGGTAAGTCTAACAAAACCTGTTACTATATAATAATAATTATAATATAATTGTTATATCTCTGTTCAACAGAATAAAGAAACTCATAAAGGTCTGCAACCCCTTGAGGAAAAGGGAGTAAATGTTCATTCTTTGCGTGAACTACCCCTTTAAATCTCATCACACAGATATTATGGCAGGTCAGATCTCGTTTTGCATTGAAATGCTGAACCTTGTTGCTGTTATTGTTGTGAATTTAATGCATTCAGTGTTTTTTTATTCAATAAAACTGCTCGGGGTAATTGTGAAACAGTGATTCTGCATGCAGTGTAAAGACTCATACACACACACACACACACACACACATTTGTAGTGAACAGGAGGAACTGCAGGCTGTTCTGGGCAGCATGGAAAACACTGACCTGTTCACTATACGCTCCTCAATTAAGGGTCAGTTGTCATTTTAAGTTGAATGAAGCAGGAGCTGCAAAGAGAAAGGCCACCAAAGACGCTGGCCAGGCTTTCATTCAGACACGATCAGCGGATATCTGCAGTTTTGTAACGTAATATGCAAGCTATTATTCAAAAGCTCGTATTTATTTTGTTTATTTATTTATTTATTTATTTATTTATTAATTTATTTATTTATGTTTATTCATTTATATTTCTATATTTTATTTTTTCTTTATGCATTTTTTATTAATTTATTTCATTAAATAGTTATATTTTGTTTATGTAATTATATTAATATATATTAATATTTATTTGTACATATTAATATAAGTATATTAATCTATATTTATTTATTTTTATATTCTGTTTATTCGTTCATTCATTCATTCATTCATTCATTCATTCATTTATGTTATTGGTTTATTCATTATTTATTCATTCATTCATTTATATTTTACTTATTTATTTTTAATTTAGATTTTAATTATTTTAGATTTTATTTATTTATATTTATTGATGTATTATTTTTAAATTCTATTCATTCATTTTTATTCACTCATTTATATATTTTTATATTCTATATTTTATAATTTTATATTAATATATATATTTATATTTAATTTAATTATTCATTTATTTAAATTTTATTAATTCATCTATTTATATATTTATATTTAATGTAATAATTCATTTATTTACATTTTTTATTCATTCCTGTATTTTTATTTAAGTTACATATTTTTATGTTTATTTAATTATATTTTTATATTTTATTTATTTATTTTTTATAGTCTAATTCACTTTATTCATTAATTTATTTTTTATTTAATTATTCATTCATATTTTATAATTTATTTATATTCATAGTTTATTTTTTATTCATTTATATTTTTATATTTTACATATTCATTTATATATATTTATTATTGGTTTATTTATATTTTATTTATTTTTATTTAAGTTTTATTTATTTTAGATTTCAGAGTAAATAGTGATTAAATGTTCATATGTGTGAACTGTTTAATCAGAGGAGTGTGTGATGTGCTCGTCCTCCAGGAGGCGCTGTTTCACTGTTTTTGATGCTCTCAAGCAGTGCTTCAGTCTCCCAACGGCTGTCTTTTGGCCTTTAAATAACAAATATAAAGAAATCTAAAACCTAATATATCTGCTTTTAGAAACAGCTATGAGGCAGATTCATTAATCTAACAGGATCTAACATAAAGCCCCGACTGGTGGAGGGCTGCAGTGATGGTTGACTCTCTACAGCAGGGATCACCAAACTTGCACCTGGAGCTCCAGTGTCCTGCAGATTTTAGCTCCAACTCTAATTAAACACACCTGAACAATCTGTTCAAGGTCTTAGGGATACTTGAAATACCCAGGCAGGTGTGTTGAGGCAAGTTGGAGCTAAACCCTGCAGGGCACCAGACCTCCAGGACCGAGATTGGTGACCCCTTTACAGCTTTCTCCCATCTTTCAACAGCATCTCTAAAGCTCATCCTCAGTGATCTTTGGGTTACCTCTCTCTCCAAGGCTTTCCTCCTCCGATAGCTCAGTTTAGCCAGACGGCAAGCTCTAGGAAGGCTTCTGATCATCCATTTAAGGATTATAGAACCCACTGTGCTCTAAGCTTCAGTGCAGCAGAATTGTTTTGCAACCTCGGCTAGATCTGTGCCTTGCCACACTTCTGTCTCTGAGCTCTTCAGGCAGTTCCTCTGACCTCATGATTGTCATGTGCTCTGACATGCATTGTGAGCTGTAAGGTCTTATATAGACAGGTGTGTGGCCAATCAAGTCCAATCAGTGTAATCAAACACAGACTCAAATGAAGAAGTAGATCCAACTCAAGGATGATCAGCACCTGAGGAAAGTGTCACGGCGAAGGCTCTGAATACTGAGGACCATGTGATATTTCAGTGTTTTTCTGTCAATATGGGCCGCTGTGAGGACATTAATGAGGAAGAAATTAATTTAAATGAGTTTAGCAAATAACTGCAATATAACAGAGTGAAAAATTGAAGGAGATCTGAGTACTTTTACTGTAATTGTGTTCAAATACATTGTGTAGAGCAGAATCATTAGCGCGTGACCTGTGCACCCCTGAGAACACTGAGAAGTGAAGACGTCCTCCACTATAAACTTGTGTCCCACACTCACATGCAATCAGGGACAATCCCAATCTGGACGTACCCTTCGCTCATTGAGTAAGGGAGGCCTGTGAAAGGGATGGACGGAAAACACACATATATCACCGCGACGTGATGCATAAAAGCTGCCTCGCGCTCGGCATCACAAGCAGCCTCTTTGAAGACTTTGGAAAGACTCCGGGTTGAAAACAAGGTTGAGCAACACAAACACGGCACAGAGTCTCTATGGAGATTTGGGGTCAGGTTTGCTTTTTTGTTCAGGACAGAGAAGAATTGCAGCTTGTGTGTTCGCTCGGGCTGTTCAGAAAGATCCTGCAGCTCAAGAATCATACGCTTTATTATATACATACAGCTGAAGTCAGAATTAGTAGCCCTGCTATTAAACGTGAATTCCACTACCCCCAATTTCTGTGGAATGGAGAAGCTTTCTTTAGGACATTTATAATCATAATAGTGTTCATAACTCATCTCTAATAACTGATTTATTTTCTCTTTGTCATGATGACAGTAAATAATATTAGACTAGATGTAATGGCGATCTATTTCTTCAGGTTCTTCACCATTTCCATAGAGGCTCGGCACAAAGGATTTGACGCGCAAAACCAAAAACTTGCAATGCAACAGTTTACTTTTCGTTTGTCGAGAACAACAATAATCAAAATACAAACAAAATAATTATTTATACTTTATCAAGCTTCAAAATAAATATGGTTTTAGAATGGTCAAAAGACTGTCTATCATCAAGCCCCTTCCTTCTTTCTAATCCTTTTTTCCTGATGCTTACGCATACATATGACGTATAGCATTACTGAACACATGAAACGTCATGCACATATTATAATATCACAAATAATAATATTAAATACTGTATCAATTAGCACTAACTTTGTATCCCAATACAAATAATATAATATTACAGACAAATCTCTAGTGCTCTTTATGGCTCTAACACTAGATATTCTTCAAGACACTAGTATTCAGTTTAAA